CAGCAGCAGCAGCAGCCGCGGGGGAAGCAGCGCTCGGCCCCGCGGCCCGGGCAGCACGGGTGGGTGCCCTCCCCGGGACCTCCCTCTGGGGCGCTCTCTCTCGTGGACCCTCTCCCCCGTGTCGGGCTTAGTGCCCTCCAGTGTGGGTGCCCGCAGCCATGCTCCGCGGAGATCGGTTGGACGGTGGAGGCGGAGTGAGTCTCTGGCTTTGCATTCGCCCCGTCCCAGGAGTGAGGTCAGGGTGACAGGCCTCCCGGCTCTCGGAGCGCCTTGCTCCCTGTGAACCGCAGCGCAGGGACATCTCTGAGCGAGAAGCGGAGGAAGAGCCCTGCTCCCTGGGGGGCCCGCACCACCGCAGCCAGACGTGGCCTCTGTAGTTCCTTCGTCCAGACCCAGCTTCCGTTTCTCTGCGTCTGTCCTTGCTCTACTTGGGATGGGTGTCACCCCTGTGTTCTCTGCCCAGCAAAGAAAAGAAAGTGAATTGCAAGCCCAAGAACCAAGACGAACAGGAAATCCCTTTCCGACTCCGAGAGATTATGAGGAGCCGCCAGGAGATGAAAAACCCCATCAGTAACAAGAAGAGGAAGAAGGAGGGTAGGTGCAGGCCATGCTGGTGGCAGCAAAGCTTTGTGTGTCTGTGTCGCCTAATTGCCAAATACAGTCGTGCTCCACACAGCAAAGTTTCTGGCAAAGACGGGCCCCGGCAGTCCCTTAAGATGATAATGGTAGACCATTTAGCCTAGGAATGCAGTAGGCTGTACTGTCCAAGTTTGTGTAAGTACATGGAATGTTCGCATGACAAAATCACCCAGTGACACATTTCTCAGAGCATATCCCCATCGTTAAGTGATGCATCACTGTACTTCATGGCGTTTCAGGTGGAGGAATATGCCAAGACCCAGTGTTCTGTGGGAAGCGGGACTGACAGAAGGCCAGCGTTGCCAGGGCAAAGCAGAGCTGGTAGCGGGTGGCAGTGTGGTTCCAGAGGGGCTTGGAGGGGCTTGTGGGGGTGGGTGAGGAGGAGCCGTTCTTGGGGCTCCAGGGGCCATGTAAGGAGCATTTACCTTTCTCCCCTAAGAGAAGTGGTGAAGAGCCATCAGAGGGTTTTACGCAGGAAATGGACGGTTCAGATTTATTTCGAGAAAGGAGAAAAGATTACTGCATAACGATGGAGGGGGTGGGAGTGGACACGGCGTGCTGGTGAGCTGCTGCCACTGAGAAGTGGCCGTTTCTTGGACCAGAGTGCTGGAAGTCATGACAGAGAAGTGATGGATTCGGGAGCTTAATGGGGAAGATTGATCAGACTCCTCTCACCTTTTTCCCCCTCCCCCTTGGCTGGGTAGCGTGCCCACCTGTTGGCCTCTGCCATCCAGAGATAGCACTCTGGGCATGGTTGGAAACAGTGTCAGTGTGTTTGCATTTCACATATATACACATTTGCTTTCCCACACGTGGGACCGATGTTGCAGCAGTGCTGTTTGTAGTCTGTACGCAGACTTCAGGCTTTCCATTGGGGGGCAAGGCTGCCAGAGGGGTGGGGAGACAAAGAGGTGAAGCGCAGGTGTGGAGGAGGCGCTGGGTGGGTGGGGGTAGCCTGGTTTGATCCGTGCTGCTTTGAATTGGCATTTTTCTTTTTGTTAAATTATTTTAAAAATATAAACCTACGTCCATGGCAAAATCCAACAGTTCTGAAAGGTCTGAGGTGAAGCGTGAGCCTGCCTCCCTGTCACTCTGAGCCCTCCCCTCAGGGAAGCCTGCGCTCATCTTGTATCACCTTCCTAGGGGAAGTACCATGAATGTTTCCATGTTCTGTACTGATTTATGTCCTGTGTTGCCATTTACGGTGGATTTTATGGGTCTTCCTGCCTCCCTCCGTGTAGCTCTCCTGGGCTTCCTTCAACAGCTGTGCGGTGAGGTCTGGATGAGCAGAGGAGAATTCATTGTCAGTCACCTGTTGATGGATACTTAGGTTGTTTCTTGTTTTCTTTTTCAGCTATGCTGCAGAGGACATCTTTGACATGTACCAGTGGGCTGAGGGGATCACATCCCTAGGGACGCCCCATGCTTGGCATTTTAGATCCTCCTTAGCTGCTGTATTATTCCCTTAGGCTTCAGGATGATTGGGCTGCTTCCACTGGAGCCTGGTCTTCCCTTCCTGTGGCCTTGGGAGAGGAGATGAGCATGGGCCACCTGCCTGGCCCTGTTTATTCCCTCCTGCCCTCATACCACATCTCTGAGGCCTCCCTTTGTCCTCAGCCCAGGTGGCCTTCAGACAGACATTGGAGAAGGAAGCAAAGGGAGAGGAGCCAGACATCGCCATCCCCAAGTTCAAGCAGGGGAAGTGGGAGTCCGATGGGGCCTACATCCAACGCATGGAGCAGGAGGCCCAGCACGTGCTGTTCCTCAGCAAGAACCAGGCCAGCCGGCAGCCAGAGGCACAGGCAGCTGCCAAGAAGGAGAAGTCAGAGCGGAAGAAAGCGTGAGTGGGGGGCCACAGGGGGTCAGCTTCTACCCCTGGAGGCCTGGGGAAGGCAGGGCTGTGGGTTCCCAAGATTGTCTTCTGCAGTGACAGGATTTTGTTGCTATGGGGCAGCAAGGTGACTCAGGGAAACTGGGGGAAGACGTGAAAAGTACGGTCAGTTGTTGAGTGTTTTACTCCATGTCCAGCTTCTTACCCTGGGGGCTGTGGGGGGTGGTTCAGAGAAGCTGTGAAACCTCAACACTCTGCGAGGACCTGGCTTTGTCTTTACCTTTCTCTGGAAAAGCATTAAAGGGGCCCAAGAGCCAAATGAAGTCAAAGGCCAGCTGACCCTGGGCTGGTGGCTGTGGGAAAATGGAAAAAAGATGTCTCAGTGCCTGCCTTAGGAGAGCTTGCCAGCCCTCGTGGGAACCGACACTGCAGGGATCGGTGTGAGGCCAACATGCAGCTCCCCTGCCTGGCCTGAAAGAGATTCGAGAGCCTTTGACTGTGTCATCTGTGTGAACACTGTGACCTCTCGTGACCTTGGCTTTTCTGTGTAGTCGAGATCACAGTGTCGTGAGGTTCAGGTGGGCTCCTCGTGCAGTTCCTAAGGGTGGCGCCCAGCACCAGTAGAAATCCCGCTGCAGGTTCTCATCCCTCCCTGTCCCTGCCACCTCCTCGGCCTGCCCGTGTGCCGGGGAGATGGTTTCAACAAAAAGGGCTTTCTGAGATGCTCTAACCACGACTCTTCAGATGCAGCAGCCCAGGCTTTCACCAGAAGTTAGGACAACACTGCCACGGGTGCATATTATTCCTCCATGTGGCGGCAAGAGGACATGCCTTCTTGGTTCTCTAAAAGCTGTGAAAGTTAGGGAAATGGTTTTCAGCTTTGTAGAGTCTCCCTGTTTCTGGATCCTTTTAAGACGTACAGTCACACTAGCCAATGAAAATTACGTCAAAGTCTGTCCCAGATACAGCCTGAAGCCACAGTGATCTCCAGAACTGTGATTAAACATTAAGATTCCAGTGTCACAGGAAGTGCCGTTGAACATGTATGGTACTGCGCTAGGTCCTTTAGGTGCAGCAGCACAATTGGGGCCACATGATCTTTGGTGGGAGCTGTCGTGTGCATTGCAGGGTGCTCAGCAGCATACCTGGGCTCTACCCACAAGGTGCCACTGACTCCCCCCGCATGTGACAACCTAGAATGTCTGCAGACATTGTCAAATGGTCAAATGTTCCCTGGGGGGCAGTTGCCCCTGTTGAAAAGCACCTGCTGGGAAGTTTAGAGGGCTCTGCTGGGTCTGAGTCCTCTCTGCTGGGCAGCTGTGGGTCTGGGGTGGTAGGGGGAAAGGGGACTTGGAAATAGACAGGTGGACTTGGTTCCCATCTCTGCCACGGGATACCCCTCATGGGCGGGGTGACCTCTGCCACCTCCTTGGATGAAATGAGAGTATGGGAATCCAAGTAGCATTTTGCTTTCTTCTCCAGGTTTCAAAAGCGGCGACTGGATAAAGTCCGGCAGAAAAAGGAGGCGAAGGCAGCAGAAAGGCTAGAGCAGGAGCTGCTCCGAGGTAGCTCTTCTGGCGGGGCCTGGTACAGGCCTGCTGTTCCCCACAAGTCCCAGCTGCAGGGGGCATTCTTGGCCTCCCCTGGGTCCCACAGCCACTGGACCAGGCGATGAGTCAGTGCTCTGTGTCTTGGCCCAGAGGGGCGGGTGGCGCGGCAGACTGGCGGATGGTGGCTCTGGGTGCCGGGACTCAGTTGTACTCTGTCCCTCTAGACACGGTGAAATTTGGTGAGGTCGTCTTGCAGCCCCCAGAGCTGACCGCCAAGCCTAGGAGGAGCACAAGCAGGGACCAGGTAATCGGGCTGGGGGGAGGGTGTCCCCAATGCTGCCAGGGAGTGGAAGCCTTGGCTGGTGAGTGCGCTGTCTGCTGCGGGGCTGCTCTGCTGGGCTTGGAGCTGTTAGGTCAACTGCAGCTCCTTGTTAGCCCCCCTCCTTCCAGGCCCGGGCCTCACGCTTCCCCCTCTCCTCCTCAGCCTGCCAAAAAATCACTCACGCTGAGGACGCTTTTGAGCCCTGTTGGTGTGTCCCAGCCTCTGGCCACCTCGCTGGCCCGACAGCGGATCATGGGGGAGGAGCGAGAGCGGGCTGTGCAGGCCTACAGAGTGCTGAAGAGGCTGAGGCAGCGGCGGCAGGTGGCGCTGGCGCGCCATGATGGACAGAGACCCGGGGCCTGGCCCGTTCTCCTGGGAAACTAGCACGGGGGGCTGCTGCGCCCTGGGGGATGGGGGCACATGGGCAGATCCTGTTCCCTGGACTCACTCCGGGACTCCCAGGGGCTCACAGTCCAGCTCAGTGTGGGGAGAGGTCTCCAGTCTTTTCTCTCATGTTTCCCCTCTAAAGACTTCTTATTCGTGAGTGACCACTGATGGGCCCTGCAGATGGTGGAGACGCACTGCCAGTGGGACCTCGTGCCTCACGGCCCTGAGCCTGACATCACTCACACCTTCATTTGAAACAGAGAAGTCCAGGCTGAGACAACCCAGGGCCACTTCAGGGAGGGCCAAATCCTGTGATCCTGACCCTAAAAGCCAATTAATTATTGAAACTGCTGGTTTAGGTCAGCTCAGTGGATTCAACAGCACAGCACAAAGAAGCACAGCTAGGGGCATGAGCCAGGCAGAGCAGGTGAGCCGGCCAGTGGCAGAGAAGATAGACCCAGGGTAGGGCTGCAGGGCAGCAGGGAGACCACCCCCAGGGGTCTGTGGGGGGACCGTGACAACAGGCCAGTTGGTAATGGTCCCTGCAGGCAGGTGGAGCCCCACC